CTTGAGGGGTCCTCAGATTGGAGAGGGTGCAGGCTGGGCTGAGGGACACCCCCCAATGCATGAATTTGATGCACAAGGCCTCTAGTTATTTTATAAAAATAGTAAGTTAAAGAATCCCAACGGGTGGAAAATCTATTATTAATCACCAGTGAAAGCATAACTCTCCCATATCATATTTTCATCCTATTTTCTTCACTAATGCTAATTATATCCTCTGCCTTTTAGAATTATGATTTCTGCCTGACTAATACAAAACGTCATAGCTACATCTATGCCACTTTCCAACCATTCTTCTATAATACCAGATCGCTTTAGATAGAATAATTGAGAGACCCACAATTTGATGCATTTATCATAGTATTTTTATAAGATTGTTCTTGTACCACATATCATAGTTGGTTTCTGTGATATACTTCATTGCACTGCACAGAAACAAGAATTTATTGGCAATAGTATTCTATTTGGGCCATCAATGTGTACACGACTTGGTCTCCAATTTTATAAACTAAGTATTGGAATACACACAAATGCAAACATTCACACACAAGAAAGGTATCCTAGTTATCAAAGGCTAAATTATTCACAAAAAATTAATTGTTACCATCTATTGTAACAGTTGTCTATTTCTTCCACCTTTGTGTTGAACTGCTATTATTAGACACATCTTTGTTTCTCTTTGCTAGGAGTCACTGTCTTTTTCATCTGTCCATTCTCTTGGTCTCTTTCTTGCTCTCTTCTCTCCTGCCTCTTATTCATTGTGTCTTGATTAATCCTTCAAAAGACTTTTCTTTTTTAGAGACTACTATTCTTTAACTTCTGCATGCCAGTCAAATAATTTTGCTTGAAATCATTGCTATTTGGCTTTCTAAGTTTCATGTGTTCTTCCTGTTGGTGCCTCAAAAGTTCCTCCTTCTCTACCATTGTTGGTAAATCCTAAATTCTGAGATATTCTGAATGCCAGTGTTTTCTAGAAAGCTCATCAACACACCACCAGGGTCTTAATGGTTTTTAACATATATCTACAAATATTTTCTCATGTATTCAATAATTTTTAACATATATCTGTGTCTAAAAATCTTTTCTTGTGTATTCAATGTTTCATGCTTAGAGTTTAAATTAGTTCTAATATCTACAACTATTTAATTCTGTGACTAAAAGATGACCTACCTAAATTTGCCTCTCCATATAAATTGCAACATTCACTGCCGCTGAAGTTAACAGCAAGCTAATGGATTCCAAAGAGACTCATTTGCTTTGTTACAAACAGGATACTGTGGGTGTCTTTTCTTTAAACAAAAATGTGATCTAAACCTCAAATTATGCCCCATATACGTATTTATTATCAACTAGAGACCCGGTGCATGAAATCCATGCAAGGGGCTCATTCCCTGCTGCCACTGCAGCTGCCCTCTGCCTTGACCCCTGCTGTTGAGGCTTCGTCTGGAAGGACGTCCAGTCTAACTAGCATATTATGCTTCTATTATTATAGATTTCTTGACATGATTCTCATTTAGTTTTTTGGTTTATACAACAGATATATGGTACAAGTATAAAGGGCAGAAGATTAAGGGAAGCAAACAGAATACAGAAAGCTAATTTTAAAAGTGACGCTAAAATACAAACCATTCATCTGGAAATTAAGAAATTTAAAAATTCAAAAGAAATATGCACAATCTAAATTTGATATTATAAACTATAATGAACTTATTAATAAAAATAAATTTATTCTATTATTTTTATTTTAGGTATAAAGCACCCCTAAATTTTAAATTTTGTCTAGGATGTTATTGAATCAGAGCAGTCTGGGAATTAAATTTAGGGAAATTTTAGAAACAATAAACAAAACTCAGATCTGTGACCACCATTGTAATTAAACCAAATATTCAATAGAAATAATCACATAGTGAAATCTTATACTCTATTCATTCATCTGATAAATATCTGGTTCTTACTTTGTGTTAAGGCATTCCAGGGGATACAATGAGAAATATGCATGGACTTTGCCCTCATGGGGCTTACAGTCTAGTATGGAAAAAATAAGCAAGCACTTAACATAACATAAAGGAGAAAGTGATGTGTCATAAGAAAGACTCAGGCAATGTGCTACGGAAGTCATTGATACTTCATGATATAATATTCGAACTTTGTTTTTTTTTACTGTATTATCTAAGTATCCAATGAAAATATAAAGAAAGACCAATGATCAACTTACAAAATTAGGTGTCAAATTTTGTGAATCTAAGGGTGAAAAAGGTGCAATATTAATATAGTTTAAGTCACCACTCATTAGTTCTTAAAAATATTGGATCACTGAGTAATGACCTATAAGAAATATCTTTTCCCCCAGTGTTTATAATTAGATATAATAGAATAACCTAGTATTTAGAGGCAAAAAGATTGTTTTAATGTAATAAAGACTCAATTTATTAAAAATACTCATGACACATTACCTTCTCGCACAGAAATTGGCTCAATTACATTAAAGTGATGAAGAATTCCTCGATGGCTCAAGTGTGCTCCAAGGAAAGCTAGAAGGTTGTACAGTTAACTCCCAGGGTATAACTCTAAACCATACAACCTACTACCTCAACCCGGATGCACACAGCTTCCACTGTTGCTTCAAACTCCTTATCATATCTTCAGTCAGCTCCTCCAAATATGGTGGCCAGACACCTAAGGGCTTGGCAAGGATGTAGATATAATGTTCTAACATTTTACCAATTAACTTACTATGTGTCAACTAAGATTATCCTAACCTCTTGGGTTTCCAGCATAGGTCAAACAAAATGTTCTCTGACATCTCTCCCAGCATAGCTGTACTAGCAATTAATAATATTAAAAGTCAGTAGCATTCAGCTTCCTTTTTCAAGAGAAAAAGGATTACTAGTAACACATCAATCCAAATATCATCTTTAATTTTCTTTTTGAAGTTGAATGAGGTACACTAACCACTATAATGGGAGCTGGCATTTCTGGACAGGATCTATTCAGATCTTGGTTCATAACTTGCTATGAAAAAAAAAATACAAGTTTCCTAAACAATTTACTCAATGTGCATTCAAATTTGAATGGCTTTGCTACAGACTCTTCCAAGTGGTCAACAATTAAACCTGCCTTGTAAGACAGATGAGGATTAATATATTCATTAAAAAAAACAAAACAAAAATAAAATGTAATTACTTCAAAAGTAATCAACTAGGTTTTTACAGGAGTTTGATTGAAATATTAGTTAACAGCATTGTGTATAGGATTTTGTCACATCACCACACTGACACAGACCCATAGAAGCGAGCTTGTGCGGTCAACTTCACCACAAGATCGGATCTACGGGTTTATGCCAATGGGCAACCTCTCACATGGGCTCCTTATTAAAGTAGAATTTGTTTAAAATATCTGATGAAATTAGTAGATGAAAATAATAATACTGATCTTTTAGCATAAAAATTTTAAATGCTGAAATGCTCTAAGTATTTACGCCTACCCCCAGCTAAAAGCCTTTGTAAGTATTCTAAAGTAAATGAAGGTTTATATATATACATATAAGAATTTTAAAATACTTTATGGAAAGATTTTTCACAGATTAATTTTGTTTTAATAGTATTTTAGAATTAGACTATTTTAACTAATGATGAGTTTTAAAAGAAAAAAAAATAATCCATACATGCATGTATGAATTATGTAATTGTGAGGCATGAATATAGTGTTATGAGCCTATAATTAAGACAAAATTAACTATTAAGCTAATTGTGTAAGAGTTAGCCTGTGTTTGTTCTAATTCCTATAAAACCTCAGTTAGTGGTTTCAAGAAATTGATAACATATAACTTTCTCATAAAATAAGTAAAATTTTGTTGACTAGGCAGAGTACAGAAGGAAGTTACTTAAAAGTCCTAAATATATACATAGCTGGCTGTACTTGAAATAATACTGAAATTGACAATATTTAGATGAGTAAATATCAGAAAATTAAAATTAATCACACATTTATAGCATTATTACTACTCCTGTGCGCTAACATTTATACTCCAGATCTATTTCAGAAAAACAGGGTATCATCTCTCTTATACACCATATATTTAAATGTAGTTTTCAAAAATGATATATTTAAAACATATCTCTCATCTCATCCACAAGTTAGGTTAAAAGGTTATTAAAATATTTAAATCACCAGACTATGATCAAACATACAAATATAAAAATAAAGCCAGCCACATATATGTTTTTTAAGAGTATAAACTCTACAGCAACAACATTATAACTTGTGCACTCATTGTTTTACTCATATCCACATATTTAGCATTTTTCAGTTATACCTTCATTGTAAAAATAGTAACACTACATAAAAACTACTGTATATTTACATATTTTGAAATAAATAACATAAAATGTGTTTTATAGACTTTACACACAGAATTTGGTCTCCATAATTTTTACCATTATTTGTTTTCAAATTTTCTACTTATTAATAAGTTTAAAAAAATCAACATTCAAGATTCATGCATTTAACTCTAGTAAAATCTTTCAACGTAAGTTCACAAATTCAGATGTGAAATAAATGGTAGCATCTGTTTTGGGTTTATCATAACTATAAAAATGTATATTTTGGTTTCATTGTCTTATGAGATCATATATTTTTTAAAAAGCATGACTTTATTCCCTCCTCCTCCCAGATTTCACTTCCTTTTATATGGCACAACAAATTATAAAATAATTCATTTTTTCCTAAACAACTTCTTATTCAACCATATTTCAACTATGTTATATGTATGGATATCTAGAATATATTCAAAGTGACTCAAACAGTATATTGCTCATAAACTCAGACAAAAATTTTTTCAGAGGCGGGTAATATAAATTCTCAAGCCATCAATTAAAATTCCAACAGCTAGATTCACAAAGAATATGAAACGAACCTTATAACTAACACAGTCAAAATTATTTTGCTTTTTTCTTCAAAATATTAAATATGCATTGCTTTTTTTTTTTACTTTTTATTTTTACCTGAGATGATTTTCTCCTAGGATCACTTTCTTCACTTCTCATATCCATTTTAAGTTTGTCCCTAAAACAAGCACAAAAGGAGAAATATCAGACAACTGCTGTCTAGAAGGAGCATCTGGGCGGATGGTAGGAGTGAAGGTGGACGATCGAGAAGAAAACACAATATCAAAATGGGCAAAACCTTTTAAACTATTTTTTTTAAGGCTTGGAAGACTCCTAGAGCCCCACCCAAGGCTGCTCATATGTCATATAATGTGGTTTCATAGTTTGCGTTTATGCATTCATTTTGGTTGGTGTTATTTTCACAAGAACAGTTTTGAAAGTGAAAGGAGCCATGGCTGTTAAAGAAGCGACTGGGTCTTTCTTGTACAATGAACTAGTGAAAGCTGAAAAGAGATTTGGATTTGGCATGAGCTTAATAAGATAATTAAGAGTGTAGAGATTAATGGTTTCTAAAAATAACATTTAAAATAATGTTTTTCAACTGGAGGATCTTGAAACATGAAAACAGGTTTATAAATGTTAATTAGGACTGTGAAAGTTGATGTTCCATTAGCTAAGGCAGCATAAAGGAACAAGAGCTATTTAAAAAAAAAATAATAATTAGGGAACAATAACCCATAAACTTAATAAAGCATTTTATTTTAATGTTATCAGTATATAAGATGTTTGTTATTCCCCATAATTCTTTGTAGAATAACCAAAAAGAAAGTAGAATTCACCAGTCCTATATTTATTCTTTGTTTCCCCTATGTATTTTCAGTATAATGAAATATGATTTTAAAAGCACAAGTTTGCCAATGTTTAGTCTTTTTATGGAAAATATGATAGTATCAGTTTGTATTATACAGATTATAGGCTTCATTTATAATGCTATAATTTCAAAAGCATTTTATTTTTTAATTTTAAACATAATTATAAAGTTTTAATCAAAATTAAATAAGTGAAATACAGTTGTTAATCCTTACCCATTAAATGAATCAAAACTGGGTTTTGCTATAAAATGCTTAAATTCCTCAGCAATTTAGTTACACAAACAGACATAATTATTAGAATGCAATGTATTTATCTGCTGAGCCAATACATTACTAGACACTTAAGACAAGTTTACATGTACTTTTTCCACTAAAATACTTAATGGCTATTTCCAATGCACTCTGCAACGGCTCTAAGACAAATGCTTATTTTAAAGTATATTTTAAAAGGCAGTATTATTGTGGAACAAGCTTCTTTCCTACTTGGCAACTGAGAACATAACCTTTGCAGCCCTATTTTGGTTATACTGAAATCCTGGTAAAATATTGAAATATAAATCCCCCCTAACTAATTTTATTTACCAGCATTTTAATGCATATTCTAATAGGACTTTTTTTTTAGAAGTTCAAAAAGTTTCTTCTTTCACATTTAAAATTATGAGTCACAAGCCCATGAAAGATTTAGTTTCTTTACCAAAGAGGGCTGAACGCTCAAGTTTTCTTAGATAGCAAAAACGAATCCTGTACGCAAAAAGCACAGATAATATATGAATCCTTTTCCAAAACTTCTATGTATATCAGAAATAAAAACATGTACCAACTTTTTTCATAGAGGTTGTTCTGTTTTAGTTAATTGCTATTCTAATCAGGATTAGAGCAAGAGAGCAGAAGGAAAAAAGTTAATGAGAGTAAAGTGGGCGATGAGTTCAGAGGAAACTGAAAGTTCAAGGATTCCCTCTTACAGAAGAGCAGGAAAGAACAACAACAACAAAAAAGTTATACCTGAGACGAAAGGTGCGATTTCACCAAGCGCAATACATTGCTCATTAGGCCACATTAAAATAATAATAATAATAATAAAAAGAAAGAAGGCTCATTTGCTTATGCTGCCTTACAAAGCTGCTTGGTTTTACAAAGCTCGATGCCTCTGTAGTTCTACAAGCCAATGTTTGCTTTTTTTTTTTTTTTTTTTTTTTTTTTTTTTTTGGTTTGGTTTTTTGTTTTTTTTTTTTTTTTGCAGGAAAAGTCTCATTTTTTTACCCCCCCCCCGTCACTGTTGCACGGAGTGGGACACACTCGGGTTCCTTTAGTTTGCATTTCTTCTTCGGGGCTCCTGGTATGTCTTGCAGAAAAAGAGGACCAGGGTGCTCGGTCTTCTCTTTCTTCCTCCTCCTCGGTATTGGTATTCCAGGCACAAAGCACTGCGCAGAAGCTGCACCAATCCTTGCCGTCCCTGGCAGCACAGTGGCCCGAGGTGGGAGAGACCAGGAATCCTTCCGGGCTGCGCTGACTTTAGAAATGAGGGCTGCACACGTTGGGCTCCGGGACCAAAAAGGGTGAGGAGGCAGGCTGCCAGTGTGCTACATGGCTGCAATGATCTCATGATCACTGCTGCTGGCGTCCTGTTTGCCCAGTTCAAATGCCTGTTCATTATAAACCACCCCCCCCCCCCAAAAAAAAAAAAATCCTCCTTGGATTCTTCAGCAAGCAGAAAGGATAGGAACATTAAAAAAAAAAAAAAAATCAGCAGTAAGAAAAGGCAAAACTACAACAACAACAACAAAAACACCCCTGAAATGCACACACACAATTTTAGGATTCACTTGTTATGCCTCAATATTCTGTTTATATCCACCACCCCCACCTTTTTTTTCTCTCTCTTCTTTTTCCTATTTAGAGATAAGCAGCAGAATTTATCAGGCGTGAAAGGGACAGCCTCCTGGTGGCCTGCCAAAAACCCAGCATAAAGGCGAAGTTGTGCTTCAAAGCTCAGTCGCTTGCTGAGTCTGGCTAAAGTCAAGTATTAAGATCCACCATTTTCTGAGAGCCGGGCTAGGAAAAAGAAGGAAAAAAAAGTCAGGACGGTGGTTGCTGCTCTCCAAGGCTCTCCCTCCTCCGTTGGCACCGTCACAAAATCTCTGCCGTCGAATCACATGGTCCTCTGCCAAATGTGGAGCGCGTTCCCACCGACCATTCTGCTGATACTGCGAAGGCAGCTATTGTCTCGTTTAGACCCAAAGTTCAGCCCACTCTTCATTGAATTAGCAGGAAAGAAAAAAAAAAAAAAAAAGCATCACCTTTGGGGGCTGGGAGTCATGGAAACGTCTACCTGGCACGCTGCCCACTTTCCCTGCCCATCAACCAGAGATGGGATTGTGCTGCCTAATGCAATGATGACTTGGAATGCGAAGAGTCGCCCAAAGTGAATCTGATGCTTCAGTGCCTGTTTGCACAGAAAACTCTGGCTTCTTGTAGTTCAGGGGCGGGGAAGGGAAGGATCTTTCCTACTAAATGTAGCAAAAGGGAGAGAGGAAAAAAAAAAAAAAAAAGTCTGAACATGCCTACTCTGCAACTTTATTTCACAACACACCCAAATGGTTCTCAAATGAAAAGGCTGACCGCCCTGCAAGCATTCCAAGTTTAAGGCACCCCTGCCTCTGTTTCCTTTGCTTCCTTTGCTTCGTGATTTGAAGGCAACAAGCAACACAGACGCCCAGGACATTTGTTTTCATTTCTCACAGGAAGATTTAAAAGCTCGGAGAGTCTTCTTGCTTTTTATTACTTTCTGATTTTTATCTGGCACCGGTTTTGTCCTCCACAGCCACGGGATCCACTGGCAGCCGTGGGGATGCGTGATTGCTGCCATCTCCCTCCAAGTGGCCCCCTGAGAGAAGAGCCAGTTGTCTCTTAGACTACACAAAACCTTGCGACTGACTGGGTCCCGGGGTAATCTCCTCGCCACCTAGCACAGCTGCTGTGCTTGTTTGCTGAGACTGACTCATGTAAGGAGTGCTCTTTCTGTGCCTGCCCAAGCTACAGTTTGCCTGTCTTGCATGAAAGATGCCTTTGAAAGATGCAGCTCTTAGGCAATAAAATGAAACTGTCCCCCCTCCCCAATGAATTTCCATTCTAGCAGGGGACCGAAGTTCCCATGGACAAACATTTCCATACGTTCTTAACAAAAGTACAGTGAATTAAATCTTTCACCATTTCCTTAATCAGAATCTAAAGCCAAGCAGAAAAGCAAGTCTTACTAGTATTTAAACTAAACACAGTCAGTAGTCCTGAAAAGATTCATGTTCTCCTACCTGCATTAATTTAAAAAAATGTTTTGATGATGGGAGGGTCTTTAGCTAAAGTATAATTTTGTTTGCAAAAAAAAAATAAAGTTATATTAAGGGCTTTGCAAAACGATGGACTAGTGTTACCCCTCTTCCATGTACGCACACATTGCATAATGCATGACAAAGATATAAAAAAATAATCAAACCATGACTTGTGTAATAAAAGAACTCATCAAAAAAAAAAAATTCAGGGATCTAGGAAATATATCCTAAAAACCATTTTTTTAGGATATGTTTCCTAGATCCCTGAAGGTAATTTTCTTTAGAAGCAATAGGAATGAAGCAAAGGTCATTTTCTTTAGAAGTAATAGGAATGAAATGTGCACACACACACCCACACACACACACACCCTCATACACACAAGAACTATTCTGGTGTCTTCCCTATTTGTAATAGAAAACACACAAACACAATCCTAAACCATAAAACAAAAACTAACATAGGTGCGGAAATTAAAATTGCTTTTTTCTAGACTGAAATTCTGGACAAATTTTTCTCATGTCCTAACATATGCTTAGAGTGCCTGGTAGGGAATCAAGCATGGTTTGTAGACACACGTGTCCCTGCCTCAGCACAGCAAGAAAAAAGTAGATACTCTCTAATAGAAAGAAACATTTTAATTGTTAGCTCTCATTCACTTTCTCAGCAGATATTTATTAAGTAAGTATAATAAGCACAGGGGGACAGCAGTGAATCACATGGGCACGCCTCAAGTGGCAGTCATTCAGGAAGAACTTCCACGGGAGAAACATTCACTTCTAAACTTAAGTATTACTAGTCCGAAGGGAGCATTTAGTGGCATCAAACTAGCCAAGAAACACACTAGTATAAATAGGGAAAGTGGACGTGAAATGGATATTTAAAAACAAATTAGAGATAGAGATGCATTCTCTGTCTTGTTTTCTCTTTTAAACACGAAATTTACTAGTTTTCCATAACTCTGCTTAGCTTTCTTAAAGAA